TATTGTTTTATTATTATTCTGTGGCCCGGATTCGAACTCAAGGTTTGCCGATATTCATAGAGCAGAGCGCCAACCGCTACGCCCCGCCGTGCGCCGCGCCGTCTTGTGTTCGGCGGCACGTGCAGTGTTGCACATCGGTGGTGGTGCGGTCACTGCGATGTGCACTGCGCTCATGAAGTCGGCGACCCGGGTTCGATTACCCGCTCACTGCTGACACGGTTCGCCAGTACAATGTACGAACTGGCCGTAGGCGGCCCTCACCAAACCGCGCCAAGCAGCGCGTGGTGAAGTATGGTCAAATAACCCCCACGGATAAACAGCGCGAGTTGGGATGATAGAGTGCTCAAAATGATCATGACCACAATGACGGGCGCGGTAAAGTACGGGTCAGACGACCGCCACGGGCTGGCACGGGCACGGGGGGAGGCTTTCATCCAGAGGGTTGACGAACGGGGCAGCGCGGGATTAGACGACTCGTGTACGTGACCCTTCTCTGACCCCACCCTAAGCGTTTCGCATTTGGGACCCGGCCGTGACCCACGGAGGCGTTGATTCCCCGCTGCCTTCTCCGCGTGGTCTCAGGGCTCTCCCCTCCGATAAGCTAAGGAAGGCTTTCTTTGCCGGTAAATCTCCCACGCGGCGTACGACCCCGCGTGCTCGACCGTGCGTGCCGGCGGAGGAGGTCACACGAATGTCGCCGCCTGGTAATCCCCGTCCGTTGTGATCGCGCTGCAGAGGCAAGAAGCCCTCGCTAATCTCGCCACCACCACCTCCTCGCTCGCTCGCCCAGAAACCCCCCCGCTCGTCGCCGTGCGGCGCACGGCACAACGACAAAGATCCCCCCTCATAGCCTGAACAGGACTGTTGGGGCAAGTGCTGCTAGCGAGCACTACGAAGGCCGGCACACGAGGGGGTGGGGTGGCCAGCACCACGCCCCGATTGCCTTTGTCTCCCAGTGGCGATGTTTTTTAACACCGCATCAGGTACTCATTTGAAGGCTGAGTCGACGTAGGGGGGCCAGGACCGGTTCAGATAATCGCACTGATGTTGGCCGTGAGCGGGAATCGAACTCGGGTCGCCAGGTTCGTAACACAGCGCTAGACTACCCGCGCGGCCACAAGCGCGCACACACGCACACCGAGAGGCCAGCGTACGTACGCAGACCTCGTGAGAGTAACATGGAGTACAACTAATTATATTTTTAGCAGGTAAATGCCCACTGAGCTATGTAGCTCTTTTCAGAAGCGACCTGGCTATCACAAATAATAGCTCAACGACTTGGCTTATCATCATGTGTGGAATTTATAGCAAACTAATACTCTAAATGCATGTTGTTAATTCTAAATGTGGAGGGGAAAACCGGAGGACCTGGAGAAAAATCCATGCGACCACGGGGAGAGAGACACCGCAAACTACAAATATAGAGCAGGCGTCAGGGTCAGGATCGAACCCACGACCTCTGGTATACCAGGTGAGGTAGTTAACATCTTGACACCGTGGCACCGGCTTAGCTGGCGTCTCTCTTTAGCATTAGATGTGGATTACAGTCACAAGATACAATAACAATACGGTAATGTGAAATGGTGCAATGTACTGTAACAGCCCTTTTATCAAGCCACTGATTAATGAAGGCCTCCCACTGCCAGTCACAGGGATTTGTTTGACCATACTTCACCACCAGTGCCGGTTTGGTCAATGATGGTTTGTGAATGGAAGAACCAGGACCGGTTTAAATAGCACCTCACGACTTTTATTAATATACAATACGTTGAACTTCTTTGGCACCCCGTACGTAGCCAACCGTGCTAATGGAGGTGCGGGGGATGGACAACAATCTGAACAGAA